AACAAACGTCCACGTATCTCATGTCCCCTTCCTCACAATATAATCGGGTGGCATTGGTCCGACCTCCGTACAGGGCTTCTCGAGGTTTCAAAGGATCGGGAATGTCCAGGTTTCCTACAAAATGCTGTAAACTCACATCTTTTTGCACTTGCTGATCGAAATCGTGCTCCCAGATACCACGGACGGTATACCCCATGTTTTCTAAATCGCCAGTCCTTCTGAGGGTTTCTTCGTGTAATTGCTGGTAAGTAAATTGGGTCCTATGAGGATGAGTTTCGGTCTGTAAACTGGGATAGCAGGTGGGGCATCCGTGCCAATAGCACCCGTAAAATTCGTAGACGGTGCGAGTCGCTTCCTGGTATCCGTCGACGGTATAATTTCCGATCTGGATTTCGCCCCCGTTTCTGGCATGTCGTATGTGACATCCAGTCTGTTGACTCATCCAGGTGAGCCATCGACAGGCTTTAGCCGAATATTGTCGTGCCGGTTGATACCCGAGGTTCGGAATGATGGCAATGGTGTCTTCAGGCATGAATTGTCGACGGTAGGCTAAATTAGCAGCACTGGCAAAAGTGATGGATTCCTGGAAAGGGTCCACATTGACCAAACTCTTGAGGGTAGCTCTAAACTTTGCACAGCATCGGCGTAAAATGTCGACGTCCGAGACACAATACCCTACAAACTCTTTCTGGAAATTAAATACTTTTCCCCTCTGTTGTTCGTACCATTCAAAAAAAGCCCGTCGTCCACTGATAGACATTTCGTCCGGTTTGTAGAAAGCTGCCGGTGGATAAGGTCCTACGTAATTCTGGTTCTGTTCCGTATTAAAAAAGTGAGGGAAATAGCCTTTCTTCAATTCGTCGAATCCGAAAGCTGAGGGCATCTTGGCTAATGCAAAAGGTAAGAAACTATACGAGTCGATGAATTTCAGTCCGCATATTTCCATGTATAAGATCTTACTGCCGGTCATGATGACGTTAGGTTTCAGGCAAGAGGAATGCACCAGGTGATTCAAAATGAACTGTCCGTCGTAGCCTTTGAAGTTATGGGCGATGATGATTGCCTCGTCGTATACTAAAGTGGAATTCTTAGTACCTGTAGTGGGTTGTAATAACCAGTCCATGAACTTCTTTAAGGTGTCTGGTCCTTGAAATAGGTGCTGACGGGGTCCCATGTGTTGACAATGAGGACAGGGTTGGTCTATGGGTAAGTGACTGCAATGTTGACAGACGCGGTGTGCCACACACAGATTAGGGATGTGAATGCCGGTTTCCTGAGTGCATTCGAAATCGAAATAGATGTAAAACTCTAAGGTCCCTTTCCCCTTCTTCTTCTTCTGGGGCTTCTGTTGTACGTAGCACTGATGATCGGTATCAACGATTTTCTTACAGATCTTACACTGTTTCTGTTCTCCGCATTTGTGATGAGGGAATAATTTCTTAGGTATCCAGGACTGACACTTCTCGCATTGTTCCATTAAATTGCAGACAGTAGTGGTGGTCTTCTTACTATGGGGTCTTAAATGATTTTCGTAGCAGGTCCTGTTCTTAAACATTCCATGGCATTCCTGGCATTTAATCTCGATCCCTTCATCGGGACAATTAGGGTGTTGTCCTAAACAAAAGGTACAGCGATGAGGACACTTGGAACGATGGTCTGTGACATTCCTGTACCCCACGTCGCAATGATCACAGTAATAGGGGTTCCCCGTTACTCCAGGCATGGATATGATGGCATCGTAATGATGGTCGTCTAACAATATGTTTAAACAAGTTCCGTCTCCCCAGCCTTTGAAGATGCGCTCTAAGGTGAGTTTAGTCGAAGTAGACTTGAACTGAAATATTTTCAGTCGATACTGAGGAGCTAATACCTCTTGTAATTTCGTCCACTCTGCATATCCACAAGCTTGAGTGATATCACACTCGGCCTGTTCCATGAGGGCTATGGCTTGGTTCTTCTGGTCATTGGCTCTTACATCTCCTAATCTCATGCGTTTCCATTGTTTTTCCCATTCGGGGTCTGGATGTTCGGGTTTTTGACTGTGTAATCGAGTGACGACGATGGCTCTAGCTAAACAAAATTTATCCCAGGGATTGATGATCCGAACGATGGCTCTTTTATTGTTCTTAAAAGTCTCCTTATTCACTTGTAAATGTTTGGTTCTGTCTCCACCACTTCCCTCGGGATACTTGACCCGAAACATATCGAATTCCATGCCCCCGTCGCCCAGTTTGAACTCCTTTCTGGATTGTTGCACGGCTTCAATCTTGTCTAAAATGACGTCCTCGTTAAAATGTTTACATTGAGTAAACTCGTACCAAATCTCTGATTCCAGAGATTTGTGGCGTATGTTCAGGCGGAGGTAATCGTTAGGATTACACTGCATTTTCGATTTGAAAGTTTGTAACATGTCTCTGAATAATCGCCGAACAAATCCTCTGTTTTCTTCCTCTGGAAACTCCTTAAAAATCACAGTGTAAAAATCCTGTTGAGCTTTAAATTTTTTAGAGTGCACCCTATGATTCACTGTGACTCGATAATACTGGGATATGGCCTTGGGTTTGGGTGGTGAATGAATAGGTAACTTTGACCCCTCATGCGCCCTAGTCCTTTGCTGTTGCTGTCGTTGTTTTTCTAGTTGAGCTCTTCTCTGTAATAGTCTGGCATTTCTTTTCCGAAGCTTTAATTCTCGCTCTTTATTTTCATCAAGAATATGATCTAATTCTCTTTCCCGTAGTTGTCGTTGTCGTTGTAGTTGTTGTTGTCGTTGTTGTTCTAATTGAGCTCTTCTCTGTAATATTTTAGCATTTTTTTCCCGGAGCTTTAACTCTTGCTCTCTTTTCTCATAAAGAATTCGATCTAATTCTCTTTCCCTTTTTTTCCATTCTAATAATCGCTGAGCATGTAACTGTTTTTCTCTAGTAGAATCCATGACCCACCACAGGCAGGGAGGTGGATCTGACAGTAGAATGAGCTGAAAGTAGGAGAAAACCTGTATTTATACAGTGGATGACGTCACAATGCATAGGTAAGCATATTTTTTGCACACGGCCCTAAACAAACTTGAATCGCTGCCAAGTATTACCTGTGTAGTCAGCATATTTTTTTTGCACACGGCCCTTTACAGGTGATGCAACAGGTATATAAGAAAACGCAGGTAAAACGTATTTTTGCACACGGCACACAGCAGGTATATAAACCAGCGCTGGACATTGACGTTCACACTTCGTTAGCATTCTGAATTCGACACAGGTAAAAAAAATGGAGCAGATAAAAAATTTGACAAAGAAAACAGAGTATTGTTGGTCAGTCAATGGATCAAGCTTTGGAAAATGGATGAAAACTAAAGAAGAAGCGATCCAGGATTTTTATAAACGCCATAGAATATTTAGTCCCAGATACCAAAAAAGAGTGTGGTTGGTAAAAAGAGTGGAATTGGATCCTGAAGATTATGACACCAGAGAGGACCAATACTGTCTGAAAAGAAAAAATGGTTTTTTATTTTATCAAAGATACAAATGGGTGCTCAGTTGTTATTGTAAGGAAAGTGGATGGAAAAACCAGATTGAAAGCTGTTTTCGTGAATTCGAACATAGAAAGAAACAAGGAATTCTTCCAGAGACTTATACAGTGTATATATATTGTCGCATTCCCTTTATTGCTGACACGAAAAACAACATTTGGAGAATAGATTTCTGAATTCTGAATAAAATTGCCTTGTTATCATCTGTCTTTTGTTATTGTTTTCAGAAAATCCAGTTTGAACTGGTTAGGCTAGACTGTCTAGACTGTGAAGCGTGACGTCATAATCAAATTCTTTTGAGTCGCTGCCAAAATCGTAGTAGCAGCGTTGTGAATCGTAGTAGCAGCGTATATAGAAAAATGTAAACACAGTGTACACACCCCGTATAGGACATATAGGGGCTCTGTACTAACCCACCTAGCCCCCTAGGGTTAGGGTAAGGGTTGTACTGAGTTGACCCAGCTATCCCCCACAGACCCCCTAATCTGCAGTCTCTTCACCCACCTATCCCCCCAGGGGCTGCACTCCCTTGACCCGGCTATCCCCCCAGGGGCTGCACTCGCTTGACCCGGCTATCCCCCCCAGCCCCAAAAGTGCACTCAGTTGACCCGGCCATCTAGACCCCTTATACTACTTACGAGTTCTTGAGATTTTTAATTATGACGTTATTAACCTCAGATGTCGAGATACAAGACAGATTTATAGCTCTAAACCTTTGTTATGTAAACAAGGTCTGTGTCATGTTTTTGTTTACATATATATACTAAATATATATGTTCGTTCAAAGTACATAATTTGAATATAAAAGTTAATTTAAATGCGATTCAACAGTTTCTTTAGATTTGCTGAATTTCATTTTGTTATAAATATATTTTCTATTTGTAAACAAAAACAAGGCACGAGCTTTGTTTAGATTATGAAGAACTTTTAAGTTCTGTATCTCGTTTGTTAATCAACAAATGATGTTCAAATTTTTGCTAATCATTAGATGAGGCCTTAGGTAGGAATAATAAATATTAAAATTGGTTCAAAAAATTCAGTAGAAATTGTGTCCATGCCCCTTTAAGAACAGAAATTGATGAAAAAAATGTAAACAGGTAAAATTCTTTGGGACACAACAGCTACATGTACAATCCGTATTTGTTGAACTCCTGTGCTCGGCAGTTGTCGGTATGCATGGCCCTCTATCTGCGCACAGTGCAAATATGATATCTTACCGATAAACTTGTTCGATGATCAATACATAGTGTATCTTGGAAGCTGAATAATCACAATCAGAATTTGTAATCCGAGGAATGCTTTCATCTCATCGATGGTGGTAACGGTCCAACTCTGTGCTTCACACTGAGCAGCTTACGAATCAATGTGGTCCACAAGTACCAGACTTAACGGAAACAAGAGCAAACAATATAACAAAGGATTGCCATCTAAAGAGAACTGATGAATGTGACCTTAAGTATCGACGAAGTCTGGAACATCAGTCTTTCACAACATCAGTCCAGAAGTCAGGATCTCTAATCAGTCTAAGGTCGCTAACAAGGTCAAATAATGTGGAATCTGTGTCCTGGTTATCATGGCTGTCTGCCTCACTTCCAAAGGAATGGTCGCTGTCTGAATCATCCTGATCAAAATCTGATCCAGGCATGGAGGAATCGTCGTCAACTTCTTTGTCTGTATCTATATCTGACGATTCTTGGGTTGAAAAAATGTCGCAAGACGCCATATTATTTATGTTCACGATATTGCCATGTATACGTAGAACGACCCCGACTGATTTTCATTATATTTTCACATGTGTTTTTTTTTATCAAAACAACAAAACCACCCACTTTATTGTAAAAAAAAAACGATTTAAGTATTTTTAACAATTGATTACTCGTTTTTTTTCTTCCGGGGAAATTCAAACATTTTAATATATCGTAATACGAAAGTAACTCCTAAAAATATATTTTCAACTGGTCGACTAAAAACATTTTCTATCATCATCTAACTTGCTTATTTATATTTTACTAGATAATTAGTTTCTAATACATCTAATTGAATAAACTATTTGGTTTTGATATTTTCTGAAGTTGTTTTAACGTGTTTTGCCACGAAAAATCGACAAGTGTTTGTACCACGTGGATTTCGATCGCGGCAAATATCACTGGAATAATGCATGTTGTTGAACTCAAGATACCAAAAAACTGGTAAATCAAATAAAAAAAATTAAAAAAAAACTTTCTTTGCAAGTATTCCCTCTTTCTAATAATACCAAAATTATTCTAATGTTCGCAATATTAAAGAAGTTACTGCAGCCCGGAGGACCGGGCTGCTCGCTCTATACATATAAGTTTAAGTTTTGATGCGTGGGAATTGAGGTGAGAGTAGTTATTCCGAATTGAAGGTTAACTAAACATTCAAAAGATTATACATCAGAATGTTCTTTCCCGTTATAAATTACGATATACAAAATATACGTGATGAAGTACATATTCAAAAATATATATGTTTTTCATATTTAATATATAAAGCTGCTTTTCATTAACTATCAAAAAAAGCGACAGGTCCCCTTTTTTAGAACATTAAATTTTACCTTTCGCATAAAAACGTACGTTACACAGTTTTTAGGTCACCTGACCTATTGCTATCTGTTTTCGTCCGTCGTCGTGCGTCGTTCGTCGTGCGTTAACATTTGAACATTTTCAGCTTCTTCTCTGCAACCACTGAACCGATTTCAACCAAATTTGGCACAAAGCATCTATGGGTGAAGGGGAACAAAAGTTGTGAATTTCATGATCCCTGCCCCCCTGGGGCCTAAGGGGTGGGGCCAAAACCACTAAAATTAATGCAATCTTTAAAAATCTTCTCATTACTCCTGGACATCAAGCTGTCAAACCGTTTGCATGATTGTAATCAGCATTGAGTCCTCTACCAAAATTGTGAAATTCATGGCCCTGGGGTCAGGGGTTCTAGTGCTAGGGTGGGGCTAAATAAGAAGTTAGTGAAAATGCATTATTTCTTTGAAAATCTTCTTCTCTGCTCCTGGGTATTAAATAAACCAACTAAGTACATAGTTTTGATGAGCAATAGTGCCTCTACCAAAATTGTGAATTTTATGGCCCCAGGGTCTAGGGTTCTGGTGTTAGGGCGGGGCTGTATTGATTATATAGTGAAAATACATGAATTCTTTGAAAATCTTCTTCTCTGCTCCTGGGTATTAAATAAACTAATTTTTAAAAAAATTTTAACCTTGCATGGCCACATTTTTTGAACGGTTACGGTTAGGGTTTTCATCCCTCACATATGTATTACTTAAGACAAGACCTTTCTTAAGAAACCAACAACTTAGACCCTTTGACCTTGGAGTTTGACCTACCTTTCAAATAATTATCCTTGGCCATAACTTTTGAACAGGTGGTGCTAATGATTTCGTATTTCACTGTCGTATTTCTTGTAAGAAGACCCGATTTTTGGTAATAGTATATATAATTTGCATTTAAGATAAGTTAAATCTTCGCTTTGTTGCCATATGTGGTCATCAGTGTTTCACAAACACATCTTGTTCCTTATATTGAAAAGAGATAGGACTTTCATATTTGACATGTGCATTACCTTTAACAAGATATTTCCGAGCATGCTATGATTTCTGACCCTTCTACCTTGGCCTTCACGATTGACCATATATCTTTAAAATCAACTTCAGTGATAATTTCTAAATGACATATAATAGGGCGGTCATATTTGACACAATATGTCATAAAATGACATCTCACCCACAAAGACACCGAAAGCAGGGGACCACAATTCTTGAAATTTACTTGTTTATCTTAAATTAAAAAGTGATACATGCACATGTAAATGTGCAGTTTTTATTTCCCTATTTTTTAAGGGGTGACAGCCAAAAATCGGTTTATCAAGATGACCTGCTATGTTTTTTCTGGACGTCGGATTGTTGATCAATAATATTGGAACTTGAACTTGATGGTGTTTTATAAAACCTGTTCTGTGTTGAATCCAGCAGAACGACAGAAGTTATATAAAGGTAAACTTGTTAAAGTATACTGGCTTTGTAAAAAGTATGTCAAGGTTCTTGACATAGAAATATCAATTAAGTGACTTGAAAACCAGATTTCAAACCTGTTATGCCTTTCATTATTTCTAAATATCTTTCATTTCTTTAGACTTTTCTTGTCTTTTATAGATGTCTATGCAGTAGGATCAGGGGTTCAAAAGTAGGGGTAGATGATATAGTGAAAATTCAATATTTTTTGAAAATCTTCTCTACTACTTGATATTCAACAAAAATTACTAGTTATGAAAAGAAAGTGCGCCTCGTCCATTATTGTGAATTTCACGGCCCCAGGGCCATGGTTTCTGGTGTTAGGGCGGGGCAGCATGTATATATTTCTTATAGTGAATGAAGCATATATTTCTTATAGTGAATGAAGCATATGGAGATAACGAACGGTATTCAAGATTAAAAGCCCATAAAACGATACAAAACATGAGCTGAGCAAACGGGGACCTCCAAATCATCAAAGGTGGGATCAGTTGCCATGGAGGAGTAAGCATCCCCTGCCGACCGGTCACACCCGTCGTGTGCTGCTTGTCACGATCGGGAAATAACGGGAAAATCGGTCGTCAATTCAATGTATAATTAATGGACTAACAATTAGAATTTGAAAAAACGTTACTCAGCATTTGACTCAATGATATATTGTTTTTTCTGACAAGGTCAATGTATTGACCATAGACCTTACGAAATGATTACTTCAAAACGAGACTGCTGATATTCTTGTTTCTTGTTTCATCAACTTGTTTGTCAATAATTTATCCCGTTTTAGAAATTGTTCATACGTAGAGCATGTTCATGCGTATCGAATAACTGAGATACATAAACTCCGTTTGCTGGTTCATACATGTAAGTAATGGAAGTAAGGGAAACTGCTCCTGCTATGTCTATTGACGTACTCTGAGTATTAAGTAAACAAACTAAGAATGATGATGAGCAGTAGTGCTTCATTCAAATTATGAATGTCATGGCCTCTGGTTTCAAAAAAGAACCAAATTTGATTGTTGGGAAGTTGTTATATTATGCTCAAGTTACCTATAAGGTCCATAGAGCTCTTTTTTTTCACAGCTGAATGTGGAACTCGGTCATACGAGCCTTCTGTAATGGAGTGATAAATTGGAAGGGATTGGGCACGAGTTGCAGTGGAACAAGAACTTTCTAAGTTAATTTTTATATCTGCTGCAATGGAATTATAGTTTTTTGTCCCCCGCTTGAAAAGTGGGGGATATTTATTTGGGTTTGTCCGTCCGTCCGTCCGTCTTTCTGTCCATCTGTAACACTTTCGTTTCCACACGATATCTCGAGAACCCTTTGAGCTTTTGCAATGAAATTTATCATAGCGACTCCCTATGGACCAAAGAAGAACCCTATTGATTTTGAGTCAAAGGTCAAGGTCATAAATAAGCAAATTCTGTCTGTTATAATACTTTCGTTTTCCACACGACATCTCTAGAACCAATTGAGCTATTGCAATGAAATTTTACATAACAACTCCCTGTGGCCTAATAAATACCCCTATTGATTTCAAGGTCGTAAATTTACACATTCTCTCTGTGTGTAACACTATCATTTCCGGGCGATATTTCAAGAATATTTTGAGCTTATTCAATGTAATTTTATACCAAAACTCCTTAGGACCTCTCTCACCCCCCCCCCCCTCAAAGTGCCCCGCCCCGTTTGTTTCATTAGTATTTATAGTATTACATGTCGCTATTTTTAGCACAGGGGCATGAAGAGAGTTATTGCGTATAAAACAGGTTCTCGGCGGACTTTATGTTCTTATTACATCTGTTAGAACTGTTTAATAAAGGCTAAATAAATCAAACACCATGGATTGTGTAAAAGTTTGACAGTACCGAACATGAATATATACATGTACATGTATGTGACTTCACTTCTGCATATACTTGACTCCGTGTAAAGCGATTCCGTGGTCTAGTGGTATGTTTCTCGCTTCCAATGTGAGAGGTCCCGAGTTCAAGTCCCGGACGGACAACTTTTTTTTTTAGCTCACCTGAACCAAAGGCTCCATTGAGCTTTTCTGATCACATTTTGTCCGTCGTCCGTCCGTCCGTCTGTCAGTCCGTAAACTTTTCACAATTTCGACTTCTTCTCAAGAACCAATGGACCAATTTTAACCAAACTTGGTACAAAGCATCCTTGGATAAAGAGGAGTTTAAATTGTTAAAATAAAGGGCCAAGTCCCCCCTTACAAGGGGAGATAATCAAGAAAAGACAAGAATAAAAAAATATTCTTCTCAAGAACCACTGGGCCAGGAAAGCTGACACTTATGTGGAAGCATCCTAAGGCAGTGTAGATATTAAATTGTTAAAATCATGACCCCCGGGGGTAGGGCGGGGCCACAATAGGGAATCCAAGTTTTAAATCTTTAAAAATCTTCTCAAGAACCACTGGGCCAGGAAAGCTGAAACTTATGTGTAAACATCCTAAGGTAGTGTAGATATTAAATTGTTAAAGTCATGACCCCCGGGGGTAGGGCGGGGCCACAATAGGAAATCCAAGTTCTACATAGAAATATATAGAACAAATCTTTAAAAATCTTCTTCTCAAGAACCACTGGGTCAGGAAAGCTGAAACTTATGTGGAAGCATCCTTGGGTAGTGTAGATATTAAATT